CAGTGGGATACTTAGCAGGTCTGGAAGAGCCTACTGCGTGTGCGCACACACACACACACACACACATATTGCTAAGTTTCACTCAAGCCTACTTGATAATATTGAGGAACAATACTGGGGTATTCCTATGTGTGTAAGAATAGGTCTTAGTTGAAGTAGGTTTTACTGGTGTCCCAAAATCACAAACTGCAAAAATACTCCAGCTGTCAAATCTGCAAGGTACAAACTCATTTTCACATTAACTCTGAGTGCAACTTGATAGTAAACAACAACAACAAACCTACGACTACTAGAATGTATCTCTTTACACAGCAAAGTACTGTCCGAGGAGATAAAAGACTGTAACTTTAAAAGTTATTGACTCGAATTAGCTTAATGGGACGGCTGAAGCTACATTTGTAGTCGCGTTCCTGGTGGAAACATTCAGGGTCAGTATGGAGAGCAGGAAAAGTGACAACAACCAAGACTTCTTCTCACGTACACAGGGATACATCTATATTGTTTTAACACCAACTTGAAAAAAACCTTTAACAGTTTTTTGAAAAATTCCTTTAATGATCCTTGATGTGCCTTGAACATGACTGAAGTTCACCTAGTGCAAACTAACTTCACTGGACATAGTTAGGACACATGTCTGTATATAAGGGCCCACAATACATATTGTATTATATGTCAGGAAGTCCAGTTCCAAGGCACTCTCTGAGATAAAACTGTGGTGAATCATAGATCAGGGAAAGGGTATAAAGCCATTTCTAAACCTTTGAGTGTTCCCAGGAGCACCATGGCCCAATAATTGTGAAATAACAGGTGTGGAACCATCAAGACACCAGAACCAGGCAAGAAGGGCTTATCACAACAGGTAGTGATATAAAGAGATGCAGTGGCTACAAAAGCCCACAAGAAGGAAAGAAAAACTAACCAGTCAGCAAAAATAAAAATAAATGCAGGGCTCTGTAACAGGCACGGTTCCAGTGCTAGAGAATTAATAGTAATACAGGTGAAGCAATGGACAGCATATTACATCACCGTCTCAAAGCACGACCGCAGGCAGCCTGTTTTCTAGTCTACATCATTAAAGCCTTTGAGTAGAAATGAATCATGATAAAAGGAAGAAATATAAACAGAAAATGAACATAAACATACAGATAACATAGTAAGACAGAAAGTGGATATAACTGACAAAAGGGAAAAATTTATAGCTTTGATTTGGACTATTCCTTTTTTTTTATCACAAAGGTTAAAATTCAGCATAGCTGATATAGGCTTCTATATGTGAATCTTCTTGGTTGAATGCTGAAGACATTATTTTAAAATTACTAAAACATAATTTAATCAACTCAGCCTGTGGGTGTCTTTTTCTTGACTATTATTGCTGTACTAAAGACAGTATATTTCAAGATAAACCATTACTGTGTGCACTCAGATGAACAGATATGTTTATTCGGCAGAGGTCTAGTGCTGCCAAGAAAAAAAAAACGTCAGATGACAAAGGAATTCTTAATGGCGTTACACAGTTTGAGTGTGTGTTGGTATATAGTGAGTGGGCAGTTGCCTTTTCTGCAGCCCTCAGCTGTTAAGATTTCTCCATCATCTCTGCTGGACAATAAGAGGCACAGCTCATGAGAATTAATGAACAATTCACCAAAAGCATTAACATCCCCCTCAACTTATTATTCTGTTTCCTCCATTGAACAATTAACCGATTTGACACAAAGAGCTAATGAATAAACTTCACTCTCTGTGCCTTTGTGATTGTGTTCCTCAAACTATCATGTTCTCTTTTTCTTTTCGTCTCTAATGACCTGCTGTGTAAATAGAGTCTGTCACCTCCCTACGCACACACACACATCAACACACACTCTCACAGACATCTCTCCTGAGTCTTCATCTGCCACAACAACATTACCAGATATAATCGCCCCGCTCGGAGCGGTCGACCAGCTCAGCTCCCAGGAAACTGTGCAGAGCAGATAAATAAAACGAGGGTCTAGACACTATCTCCTGCCCTCTCCATTTAGAAATATTCCATGTCCACTTGTATCTGTATGTTCTCTGCAAATAAAGCAGCAACTGGACAGCTAAACAAATAAACTGCCCTACTGGGGACAAATACACCCTGGCCTAGGCCAGGGTGCTGTGCTGCCTTTGTCTGCCTCCTGGCACAGGATTAATTCCGAGGCTAGTTCAACTTGCCTGGTTCCCCTCAGGCAAAAATCTCCTCAGCTCGTTGCTTCCAAAAGGGGGACTGCAGAGGGATTTCGATGGTTTCTGATAGGATAGGGAACTACAATAGAGCAACAGTGAAAAAAAAGACATCAATCACTGAAGCAATTCAAAAAAAGCACTGCTAAGAAAGGTGACTTCCGTGCCTCCATTTTAATGAACATAATGCACATTTTATTTGTGCTAGAGCATACAGTAATCGTTTTATTTACAGCCCCAGTCCCGGCATGCAGTAGCTAAACAGCGTTCTGTAGTATGTAAATATGGATAAGAGAGAGAGCACTGGGCCACATGCTTAGCATGTGTCTTTGTCTGATTACTGCCTGGTATTAGGCAAATGCTCTATGCTTTAAGAAGCATGATAAGGGATTATATCACATCAAGTAACAGTGCAGTATGTCACCATAAAGCAAGACGAGAAGCAATTCCAATATCCAATAAGACTTTTTCTGATTAATAATACCCCCTGCCAATCTCACATATGCTGGACTACCATTCCAGTGTCCAGTGTGCCATCAACCAGCAGGCCACTTTAATCATCCACCTCCTCATTTCTTTCCCTCTGCCTCTGAAGTGTAAATACCTCTTGTGTAATTTACCCTGAAGTTTCCTTTCACTAATTACCCCCTCTAATCCCTCCCCCAACAGCACCTTACCAAAACCTACTCCTGCTCCAGGTCCACCACCCCGTTACACTATGGATTCCCTGTCGGTTTGCTATGGGGAGATCGAACTCTAATTAAGATTGTTAATGAAGATTTAATTTTCCACTTCAAATGAGCCAGTGATCAGAGCGTTCCGAGCGAAATGCATGAGTGAGAGAGTGCGAGAAAGAAAGTAGGAGAAAGACAAATTGAGGTGAGGAAGAGGAATGAGCCGGTGTATACACCACAGGGACAGGTGGAGTTAAAGGCTACTTAGGAGGTTGTTGCATGTTTAAATACAAGGCAGTAGGATGTCACATGCACAAAGTTCCTCCAGTCTTGAGTTAGAAACTGCCTTTAAAGAAGATACGTACTTGAAATGCAAAGATGCACAGGCACAAGTGCGGACACACTCTATACACACTGAAAGACACACAAGCACTCACACTGTTCTGAATAGCCAGAGGGATTCTGTGTGTCAGTAAGGTTCAAACAGAATGAGGAATCTCCATGTACTTGAAATCACTCACTCACTCACACACACATACAGCTTGGTTTTTGTCACGTAGCAGGTCTTTACATTGACTTACATCCCTGGTGACCCTAACCTTAACCATAATCTAACCCTAAAATTAACCTTACTTTGACTTTAAACCAACTCATCTACCTAAAAATCTGATTTACTTTTTGGGGACCAGCTTCCTATCCCCATGAGGAAGGGAACTTCCCCACAAGGTTAACGTGGTCCCAGATTTGGGTCCCCACAGCTATAGAACAACAAGGCCACACACACACAAACCCGTGTGCCCTGTGATGCAGTCTGAGTGTGTGTGTGTGTGTGTCTCCAGTACACTGTATAGTTAGTGATTCCCAGGTGTACGGAGCCCATTTTATCTCCAACCCCACCATTATACTATGATCAATTATGCATGCTGTAATTATTGACTGCACCATGACAGCACATCTCACCTAGAATGCTGCATTGCGGTGTTGATGCCCAGGGCAGACTGATAAACATACATATAGGAGTTGTAAATCGATAAGAGTGTTGTGTTGACTACAAGTTGATGTGTTTTATCATCTTTGGGGGGTGGGTGGTGGAGGTATAGAACAAGTCAAAGCTCTGTTTAGCCTCCAAATGACTTTACATACTCTTTAGAGACAGCATGATGCTTCCTTAAGGGGGCAAATCAGCCCCATGAATCTCATAAGTATGGGAATGCACAGACACTGCCTGAGATGGCATTTTGCAGAATCAGCTCTAATGCAGTCACAAACACAATTTTATGCAATGCAACTGACTTGCATATTAACTGCTAATATGGTTCTCTCTATCCCTTCCCACTCCTTCTGTTTCTCTCTCTCTGCTGACTTGAGGCAGTATTATCATTGCAATCTAGTGGAGAACCAGCTAACATGATCATTCATTAAACCATCATGTGGAAATAATCCCCTCATTCATATTTGATTATTGCAATAAATCTTTTTATCCAGCTATTTGGTCACACGGCAATGGTGTACATCTCCCCCGATCCATCATTCAGCCACAATGAACGCTGCAGAGTGCAGAAGAGCTGCAAGGGTCGGTAAAGGGGCCTCCTATTATATGGTCTCAGCTGTCAGGTCTGCTCTATTTGCTGCTGCTCTGGAGTTTAGAATGTCCTTTTCTTCTTCTTCTGTTTTTTTCTGCGAACAAACAGAACTCTCCCTCTACGTCTGAAAGCATGATTGCTCTGCAGAACTCTGCCTGTCCTCTATTACTGACCTCACATCCCCCATCAGCCTGGATCAGACTAGACAAGGTGTTCCTTCATCTTGCAGTTAGACACGCACACACACACACACACACACACACACACACACACACACACACATACACACTGTCTGCGGTTTGGAAATTTCAAGGGGACAGTCTGACAAGGCACACCCATCTACTCACAACAAGACACATGCTCACAAGGTGTGCACACATTTGTATGCACTGCACAGCACATCTCTGAATTGCTCTCCCCCTGTCTTTTTCTCTTGCACATACACAGAAGGCAAACACACAGCAGAAGTGTGATTATCCAGAAATTCAGGAGACTGCAGAAAAGGAGCACAGAGCAGGTCTGACTCATTTCTTTGAAAGAGTTGCTTTTTTATTCAAATTTACAAAAAGAAAAAGTACAACAGAAATAAATACACTTTGTTTAGCACACAACTGTGAAACTGTATCAACATCGTGCAGGAACAATGGAATCACTGGGGAGGGCACAGAACCAGTGGGGTTTATCTGTTTGGGCTCAAAAGGACTCTCAAGACCAGAAGTCTTCACTGTGCACCCCTAAGCTACATTTAACATATTTAGATATTAGGATGGTATTCTCATCCTTTGAGAGGGGGTTCACCCTCCTCAGTGTATACGCTTTTTTGACAGAGCGCTTGACAAATGCCTTAACAGGACCACTTTTGCCTGTCACCATCTACAGCACAGAGTGAAAAAGAGTTGTGGAGTGCTGCAGAGACTGCAGCCTTTTATTCTATTTAAAACAACTGATTCAAGTAATCATGCTTTTGATTGAACCAATTTGCTGGGCTCAGGAGGGGGGATAATCAGCTCTGTCAAGTGGCCAGTCTGCATGGCTCTCCAGAACTCTGAAATAAGACAAATCAGGAGAATCATCACTTTGATTCTGACCAATCAGCCAGAGCAGAACTTTGAATTAGACCAATCAGCAGAGATAAAACACCTGGAGTCAATCAAGGCTGTGGAATAAACCATACAATTAGAATGGCAAGAAAGGACACTTATTGGTATACCATGCTCCTTGCTTTTGCAGTGTCTGCCTAAAAATTGTCAATAGTGTTATGAAAATAAGGAGAGAGAGAGACTCAAAAAGTTGGCACATTTCACATAAATGCTGGCAAAGCAACACATTAGTGTTCTTTACAACCATACTAAATTTGATAACAAAATGGTTCCAAGTTCTTTGGCAGTCATTTTAGGTGTACTAGTGAAATATCATTCAGTTTATTCTGTCCATTCTCAATTGCATGGCAGTTAATTCCAGGTGTAAATGATCATTCTGGTTGACTGAAACTTGGGTCTTGTTTTTGTACTTTTTGTTCATCATTTCTCTCAGATATGATACCATTTTACACATCCCTATAATTGCTGAGACCAGGGAACACGAAAGAAAGTGAGATAGGGCAAGAAAGACGAGAGGTCAGTCAAGCTGGAGCCAGCAGCTCAGTGTGGTTCAATTAGGTTCTGTGGAGGTAAATAAAAGGGGAGCACACCCAAAGGCCTCATTTTATACTTGTCATTTCAAGCATATCATATCCACATGTATGTAATTCTGTTGCCTAGATGACATATCTGATCACAATCTCTCTTGGGTTTTCCAGGCTATGTGCAAACCAGAAATTGTCCTAGTTTGCCCTGGAGGGTGATGGTAATACACCTGAAGTTGTAATTGCCAAAATGAATTAGAAAACATCAGCAGTTTAGTTACCAGCTAACAGCTATCCATCAACTAACCCCGTCTCGTGGGTGAATTACATTTATTGACTACAAGTGACCATCTTCATGAGTTCTCATTCACAAGGCTCACTCCTTCAGAGCAATGTTCTCTGACCCCCACAGACTGTTGAAAGTTTAAGGGGAGCAGAGATCAGATAAACACTGCAACAGCTCGCTCCGCCCTTTAGATGATCATGTGTTTAAAAAAAACAAAAAAGCCAAATGTTAACAATGTTTAAACAATGTTTAAAACCCATAATCTTGTGTTTCTTGCCTCACTGGACTTCTTTTAGTGACGTTGCCCAGTCCCAAATCTCACCAATTTACTTGAGTGCAATGGAATTATTACTGACAGAAATAAATGAAAACAGACAAGATTTTAATAAACAAGAATAGTTGGCACACATTATATTACTGTGATGTGTCTCAAAACTCATATCCCTTTGCCACGGTGGATTACTCTTACATAGCTGACAGAAGGTTCAGGTAGCTGTAGGGCATTGAGGTACTGCTCATCAGCCAAATTCAATTATGATTCAGATCCCGCCAAGGTTCTGCAACCCTCCCTCCACCAGTTACTGTGCAGTGTTTATATACTGGTCCTGATACCATCCACTCTGCACAGTGGCACTGTATAGACAAATCTGTGGCTCAGGTACTACTGTATAAAGGGCTCAGAGGTGTATATGGGTTTCATTCCAGTCAGTGTGTAGCCTGATTTCCTGATTAGTTAACTAAGCATTAACAGCAGCAAACCTTGACAATAAGATTATGGTGAACCAAACTGGTGGACACTAGCAAAGCTGGCAACTCGACTTACAGTATGTGGGTGGCTTTACAGTGAACCTGTGATAAAGGCTGACATTTCTGCGATGGCACACCAAGGACGTCCATATTCAGGTTAGGGTATGTGGCAAATTCCCCTCTGGATGCAAACAACTCAGCATTTCAGGAAAATTGAGCACATTGTACATTAAAGTTATTATTCCACAAAATTGGAGAATTTAGATGTATCTAGTTAAGACAAAGCAAAATGTGATATTAAGGGCATTGGAGTCGCATTGCCTGAATGAAAGATGAATTCTGATTGGCAGTCCCTTTCTCATACTTAAATAAAACGAATCACACTCTTAACTATCAATAGAACTTTGTTTCATGTCTTTCAGGCAGTGCAACACTAATGACAGAAATATCCCCACACTCATTTCAATTACTTAATAATAATCTATATCTTAGGGGAAACAGATTATTTTTGGTATCTTTCCATTGGAGGATCGCCTCCACACGCCACTGGATTTTCATCAAAAGGGCTCCTCGCTGGGACAGGCTAGCTCCCAGCTTCCTGGAACTAATATTTTGCACAACAAACTTCTGCCAAAGGCCACATGTATAATTGAGTCCTTGGCTTGTCCATCTCAGATGAAAGCTACCACGAAACAAACCCAAACCTGTTTACTTGGTACACAGATGTTGAATACATAGTTTTCATTGTTTTCAGTCCAGGAGGCTGTTAAGTCCAGCTCAGTTAATCCATTTCTAATCTACAGTACATAGCGATAGTCCCAACAGTGCTCCAGTTTGAGTTTTGATTTTTTTTTTTTTTACTTATTTTTCATTTTATATACTTTCTTTTAACAATAATATTCAGTCATATTTACATTTGAAATGATTTTACATACAGTCAAATGTTATATCTTTTTGTTTAATTGACATCTTATAAAACAACTGTAGTCTTTGACATTATTCATTATCTATTATCGAAGATCACACAGTATAAAAGTGCATTCCAGCTGAAAACTCCAGCTCATTTGCATCCTGACCTTTAACAAGAACAAAAAGCCTGTCGTGGGATGTCTCCCTGGTGCTGTTCCCCTTTAGTTTCATTAAAAATCTGTGGAAATTCTCATTTGGGCAGTACAAGTGCTCAAAGTCAGAAACTGATTAGCATTTTATGCTTTTTGTTGTTTTCCGAAATGATGCATACTTTGTCCTCGAGACGTGTCAAGTGAGTCTGTCGTTGTGTGTGGCTGTGGGGGTCAACTTCTTGCAGAAAACCTTTAATAATAAAGTCATCATTACTCCATGTAGTAGATGGAATTCTTGTGGATGGTTTTGCTTTTATAATTTACTGTAGTACAATCAAAGCCTGATGGTGTTCATCTGTTCTTTTGTGTCTTTGTGTATGAGAATCGTTGTAGGGGATCACATCCCTAAATCATATCAAATCTTTGCATTGTTTGTTTGTTCCTTGTGGGTTGACAGGAGGGAGAATCTTTTGCAGGATTTAAATGATTCATCATTTTCATTTGGAATGAAGTAGTGAGCTGAATTATTTACTTTTCTGCCACTGCAAATGGAATAAAAAGTAAGAGTTTCTATATACATCCTTCACTTGTCCCATTCGCTTTATATTGAAATGTTTATTTTATGCCCTGTGTTTTCCTACTTGCTTTTTAAATATTTACTTTTGCACACTGTCCCGAAAACGAATGTGTCTCAGTCTTGTCTTTAAACTGTCTGTAGGCATCATGATTTCTCCCTGCTCCTCTTCCTCAATCACTGTTAAATATGCACATATACATCCACATACAGGTGCATATTTTCACTTGTGCTTGCATACCCACATTCCCTCACTCACAAACACACGTGCAGACACAAAGAACAGACCGACACACATACACACACTATGAGAAACGTCTTCCTTGTTTCCTGCTGCTTCTCATTCCATATGTGAGAGCTGAATTAAATTGAGTCTTGGATGTTTGAGTTGTTTTTCTTTGTCCAAAGTGTTTAACAATTTGTTGCTGCCCAAAGCAGAAGCAGCCTCTGCATTGTCTTAGTATCTGTGCTCAACCATATCAGCGTTTCAACACTTATTGCTTTAAATTACATCAATCACTCCCTCCCCTGCCTTCGCATTTTCCATCCTCCCTAGGCTCATTTTTCTCTGTCTCTTTTTATTACTGTGCTTCTTCATCTTTCTCCCCTTTAACTTCTCTTCACATTATACCAGCCCTGGTTGCCTTTTCATCATCCTCCTATTCCCTCCCTTCCTCCCTTTGCCCCTATTTGTTTCATTTTCATCCTTCCTCAGTCATTCCCCCTCTTCTCCAGCTTGCTTTCCTCCCTCTCTTGTTTCTTTCTTGTCTAACTCTTCCTTCTTTCCCTTCTCCTTTTTGGCACCCTCTTCAACTTTATCGTTCTCTTCCTTCTCTTTCTCCCTTTCTTTGAAGAGTTGGGCTAATTTGTGGAACTGGGGCCCCCACTCTTCCAGGCCTGCCCCCCAGTCTTCCTTCTCTGCATCCTTCTCTCCTTCGCTCTCCAGGGAACTGAGGGATCCAGCCCTTGACCCTGTGCCTTCTAGGCCGTAGACCTGCACAGAGTCATACGGTGGCTGTGAGGGGTCAAAAGTGACCTGGGTAAGGCGCAGACGTAGGAACTCACCCACCCTCAGTGCCAAGGAGGGACACCCAGGCCCTGGTGCTCCTCTTGCTGCCTCCATTCCTGGAACCCAGCTGGCCCCAAAGCCCATCACTCCACCATATGCTCCCCGAGGCTGCCCAGGGAACGGCAAAAGCTGTGGGGTCATATCCCTTCTGCCCAAAACATAACTGCCCAGACCCACCCGATCACGCCAGTCCCCAATAAAGCCTGCTTCTGGGTAGACAGATGGAGTCCCGCTCAGTGATATCCCTCCACCCTCCCTTTCTGGCCTCACCACCACAAAGTTGCTTCCCATCTCCAGTCCTCCTCTCCCCAAGCTGCCAGGGTAGTCCCTCTGCCCAGATACCTCCCCCTGCAGCACAGTGGCATAGTTGCGTCCACTGGTAGGTTGCTGTTGTCCATCTGTGGAGGTACCCCCGCTTCCATTTCCACCGACACTTCCCCCTCCTCCTCTTCCTCCTCCACTGGAATCAGACTCAGCCTGGCCAGAGATTGTGCGTTTTGGGGACAAGCCAACACGGGAGCCCCTGCGTCCCGCCAGGGGTAGGGTGGCCGAGTCACACACCCAGCCTCCTGCCCCGTGACCCTGGCCAATCACGGAGCCAGACCGGGTCATGACGAGATTATGGTCCCTGGGTAACGTCTCCGACTGCACCTGAAGGAGACGTAGGCGAGGACGAGTGGTTTCAGTTCGGGGCTGGGGTAGGGTATGGTACTGTTAGGTTTGGTATCAGCAACACAAAATGGAATGAGAACAATTTGTCATAGTAGGAGTGATAATTTAACAAGAACAATGGGAGTTTGTGATGACAAAGTGGCCAAACGAAAGGAAATCAGGAGGTGGCAATGATAAAAGGAATGGTTCAAAGAGGGAAACATTGAGCAAAAGAGAGTGGAAGAAAAGTGAGTTGGAAGAAGCCATAGGTTTTAATTGAACATTAGAATGAGCTAACACTGCACTGTGAAAGGGAGATGGAGAGGGAAGTGATCGAGAGATAAAATATTTGAACATTAAATAAAGGACGGACCAGCGAGCCTAGCTATGGCCTAATAAATAAAACAAAACAGAGAAAAGATAATGAACAGTAGGATATAAATATGCTGATATGTGTGAATCACGTGTACAGGACACTGTGCACGTGTTGGTACTGTACAGAGACTACAAATATTATAGTACTAAATGCAAATGTACTGCAGTCATTACTTTATATTTGCTTAAATACTTCCTTACATTCTCATTTGCTTATTTAATTGAATCGAGTCATTCATTCAGCCTTCATGCTTTCTCCAATGCAGCATCTATCATTAATCCAGTCACTTATTCAATTTTAATTTATTATTCAGTGCATCCATCACTTTTTCTCCTTCCTGAAACATTCAGTCAACTTATCTACATATTAAAGAGTACTGCAGTACAAAATTCATTTATGTTCCAGTTTTACACCAAATGTGTACATATACATTATTTGCTGTTGACTGAAGGATGAAGATCATAATGTAAAGCACTGGCATCCTACAGCACAGATACATGGACTACATTGCGATGTAAGATACTGCAATATTAATGTGCTAACTTTGCACCCCCCATCAGCTGTCTAAAGACCTGGTAAACTCAATCACAGAATTACATAACCCTTTGTATTAAGAGATGCACAAAAATAGCTTCTCTTCTATTTTGCTCTACAGTGAAACTGACATCATTATAGCATCTGCCTACTAAATGCAACAATGCCCATGGATGCTGCAAAACCTGGTGGAAAATTATGATGGTGAATGCTGCTATTACACAGCTGCTCAGGACAGCAGAGCCAGCTTTCCACATAAAACAGTGGCTTTGCTACAGTATATGTGCAATGACTAAACTGTGTGTTTGGTGTGAAAGCAGGGCCACTGTAATCCTTACCCAATCCATATCTTGACAGTGGTTCACTTTATCCTCATTGCTCCCCTCCGTGCAGTTGCTTGCAGTTCCTGTCCCTCCTCCTCTCTCCTGACTGTCACTGGTCCTTGGAGTTCCCCCATCCGATGTGCTAATGCCACTCGGTGGTGCAGTCCCATCACGGCTTCCCGTGCAACTGCCCATTCGGCTTCCTGTGCTGAGGTCTGTGGGAGCTATGTACACAGCCGTGGACTCCATCGGCCCAACCATGGCACCCTGGTTCTGAATGACCAGGGAGTGGTCCGGCTGGCCTCCTGGAAAGCGATATCCCAGCTCTGCAATGCCAGGTTCAACTGTTCCCCCTGGTGCACGGCGGAGGACAGGTAATGTGTGACTGCTGTAGCAGAGACGACCATAGAGAGGTCCTCCTGGTCCTGAGTAGCTGTGATCTACACCCTGATTCTGAGCCCAGCTGTAGGTGCGAGCTTTGTCTTGGCCACGTTGGGTGTAACGTCTGTAGGACAGATGGCAAAATCAACACTTAAGTTCAGAAGTTGTGCTGTTTTTTGGCATTTTTTTACTGTAGCAAAGAATAGAGAGAGAGAAACAGGAAACAAAAGTCGCTGGTGTGACATTGTGGACAATTGATATGTGTCTTTACACACCATCTCTGGTCAGTTCGACAGTATGTTTGAGACCATGGCTTGTGTTGCTCCTGTACTGTATACTGTAGCAGTCAATCCCCTTTTTAAATATATTCCTGTTATTGTGTACCACATGGGAAAAAACTCAATGTACCATTAAAGAGGCACACCAGAGTTGTTGTTTACACTTCCATAAATTTGGAGGCAGATGAAATTACAAACTATTGTGATTCTAGTTGTTCAGTTAAATGTTTGTAGTCTCCAAACCCAATCCAAGATAACCTTCACAACAACATCAGAGTTACTTGCGCAGACTTAACAAAGCTTCCTCCAGAGCCACACAAGACATTATACAACTGCTACTAGTCCCTGCAGCATGCAGACACTCTCTCTGTCTCTGATCTTACCAATGCAGAACAACAAAATCACAAACTACAGCTTCAAAGTCACCATACAGTTTAACTGTCCAATCCTCTGTGATACATTGTCAACAAAAATGAAACATTAAAAACTTCACCAAGGTAGTATTTATTGCAGGGATATTGCATTGGATTGCATTAGATTTAGACATTTTTTCATGCTGTTGTGTCCACTTCCATAAACTATGAGAAGCAATTTTCGATAAACTTAAATCAGTCTTTGTACTTGTTTATGGCTACCCCATATGGCTTGTATGAATTCATCGAAGGTAATTATTAGTCCAAAGGCAATAACAATGTTTCACAGAAACATCAAAGTGGGTGCAAACTCTCTGATGTAGCAGAACGTAAAATGAGCTTTAACAAAATGAGCACAACAAAGTGATCTCCCAGGACTGCAAGGCTTGATAGCCGTCTGCCTCAGCATTTTGATCAGTGACTGCTTACGACCTAGGAATCACAGTTCGATCACTTACTTAAGTGGATCAATTAAGTGCTGGAAAGAGATGAAAGCTTTGCTCTTAAGGGGTAAAATTGTTTCCTTTCTGCATTTCTTTTAGCATATAGCAAAGGGGCAACCATGAGCACCCCCTCACACACACACTTACTGTCCAGTGTGCGATAGCCACGTGAGCGTGTGCTGTGCGGAGCACTCTGGAGAGCAGCGATGTCAAAGGCAGCTGTGTCCGCCTCACCCCCACCCTCATCATCATATGTTATGATGTTCTCACGTACGTCGTCTTCCTCTAACGGTGACAGGGAATCACGCTTCTGACGGCGCAAAGACAATGACAGTGCACTGACAGCTGCAGAGGGGTGGACGTGGGAATAAAGGATATTGAGGCATAGGAGAGAAATTGAAAAAGAGAATGATGAAAGGGGGAGAGGGGGCAGAGGTCACATGGGAAATAAAGAGGAGGAAAAGTAGAGAGTGAGCGAGGGTGAAGAATTCAGGCAGACAAAGGTGAGACATACAAAGAGAGAACGAATACAGAAGAGGTCCTGGGTTAGAATGTTGGTATACAGTATCATATCAGCAGGCTGCATGCCTCTGCTATGTAACTGACTTGGAGCTCCAGCCGGGCAAGTGGACACTTTATTCTCCACAAGTCTTAAGCAATATTCCCAAAGTAGAAAGCTACATTTGACCCTTGGCTGTGAAAAAGGAAAAGTTATGGTGGTACACCTTATCAAAAAAGGACCCCTGTTAGAACTTGGCCAAAACAAACCCTGTGAGATCTTTGACCATTTGCTGAGTTTCACTCTTGTAAAAAGTGATTAATTTTGTTACTGTTGGTACATGTGTCAAGCTTTCCATTCTAACATAGCACATACAGTTACACAAACATAACAGCAACAGCAGGGTGTGAATTACATTGGGTTGGGGGCAGTGGTGGGATGGAACGTAACTGAAATTTGCCTATGTGTATGTATTGTGCATGGCTTTAGTATCCAATCAATTAATCTTAAAGATACTCTTACACAATTTCTTTTCAGCCACTAGAGGGTCTAGTGAGACTCCAAACAAAATGACAACATAAGCCGCTCCTAAGTGTTTTTGTCCCCCCCATTATGTCCTATTTCCTAGTGACAATGTAAACTACTGATGCCTGGATGCAGCAAACTGTACAAAATGCAGCTTCCAGTCCAACAAAAATGGTAGCTGACCAACAAATACATTTGGCAATCCAGTAGAATGCTCTGGTTGCTAATGTCTGTGCAGATTCTCAGTCATCCAGGTCATAGTAAGCTGAAAAAGAAAAGATTTTTTTGGTTGCTAATGTCACACAAAGCACTATGCCATGACTCTTACTGATTATGTAATGTTTCCAGGTAGTTTATTTCAAAACTAGAGCCCTGTGAATAGTTTTAAATAAAGGGTAAGACTGACTTGCTATCATTGCTTGAATATATATATACTGTGCATGTGTATTGTATGTACTTGAGTCTCTGTATGATTGTACCACAGGTGGTTAAGCTGCAGTTCAACTCTGCAGCCTTACTACTGTTGGAGGTTGCATTATATTATTTCCATGGAACTAATCCAATGACCCTTGAAGGGAGTTGGAACACAAATCTTTCAGAACAATTTGAGGGATTACCTTCATGCCAAGACGTACATGTATTTCTCTCTTGATGGGAGCCTCTACCCACAAGGCATGCGTGGTTACCAAATGGCTTGATATTTGTCTTATGTATGCCAAGCCCCTTTTTAATAACCAGATGGGATCCTGATGGAGCTATTGTCAAAGCTTCAGTTTGAACATTTGGCATCTTGTAGAGGGCCCAGTTCTCCTGAGCAGAATTAGCACAGGCTTCTTATAGAAAAGAAAAATGAAATTGTACAAAACAAAACTCTAGCTCTTGTTTAAAGCTATAAACATAAAGTAAATCCTATAATGTTGTGTATATTTCCTGGTATAGTGCATGCCCTTGTCACTTAGAGAACTAAATTCTAAACTCCACCAAAAGCCACTCTGCCCGATCACCTTCACACCATGTTGCATTTCTTTCTTGATTGAACTGGTCTCTTCCAGAATGATAATGCCCCTATCAACAAGGCATGAGTAGTGATCCAATAGACTGAATTGAAATGACAATGATACTGGCTATGAGCCAGTGCATTCTCAGCACCTAGACATTATCCAATTGAGCATTTGAGAGTTTCTACAAAGGTGGCAGTCACATTTCATTATGCCGCTATCAAAGACCGGAGGGCCCAGATAATCACTTAGAATTGTTATTTTAGTAGTGATTAGCACTGACCTTGCCAGAGGAGATAACTGGACCAAAATTGTGAGGAAAAGTAAACCCAGTTATTGAACAGCTGTGACTAAGAGAAATATTTACGCTGCTGCTTTCATTATTTTCATATGCAAATTAGGCATCGAGGGATGTAGCGGAGGGCAAACAGCCCTAAATGCCATTTACTCATGTTTTTAACACCTCTATAGGCAGTCAATTGTAGTGATATTACTTCACTGTACACATAATACTAAGTGCTGTAGTAAAAACATGGTATAATTTATATAAGTAAGGGTCTTTCAAGGGACAAAAATGAATGCATATTACACGTTTTTGTTTTTTACTGTTGTTATTGTCAGGATGACCCCAGCCTTCATCACTATGTATCTTCCTAAACTCTATGTATCAAAGTATTTACCAAGCAGGGTAGCGACACAAGCCAGGATAGCCAGCAGGGCAGCGGTACTGAGCCCTGGGGAAGGCAATGTGGACTGCTGAGGGAGACACACTGCCTCTCTTTCCCAGTCCCACTCGCCTTCCGTCAGTTTGTCCTTCTCTTTCTCCTCGGCCCGAGCCCCTCCTCTCAGGCAGGGACAGACAGAAACTGTGACCGTCCCGGTGCTCGTGAGGCCTGATGTCCCATCCCTCAGGACCAGCGGCACATAGAGCGTCAGTGTGGAGGATGGGGAGCGGGTCAGCGGATGAAGCTGGGACAGTAGCACCAGGCTGGCTGTGGGACCTGGTGAAAGATAGACAAGAGACAGAGATCCTTCATCTCTTGCTAACTGCAAGGTGAAACTTCCATTTTTTTCTGTGCTGAACGGCAGTAGATGGTTATAATGTGAAAATTATGACCTAAAATCACTATGCTTATCTTTGCTAATATGTGATTCACGTTGGTCTGTGATCAATTTATAACACAAAAGAATGAGTCAGGCAAAAGGTCTAAATTTGGTGTGTCCACTTTCCTCTATTATTTGTACAATTTCATTTCAAGCCTCCTATCATTTTAGATCTTTCACCACCATTAAAGCAACAGTGTCTCACAGCAGAATACCAATGGCACTAATTTGAACTAACAGGATGAATCCACTATAGAGTGTCTCAATTAGCCCAGATAGTATCCTCCTCTCTACTGCAGGCACACTTCATGATTTATGGCTCCCAAGTGCCTATGAAAACATCATAATTTTAAATATAATAAATATTCTTTGATTAATGAACCAGTATATTCATTTGCATAAAAGTACCGAGACTCTCATACTTGTCAGCTCAGACCTGTTCTTTCTGACAGTGTCGGTTCAGTATGTTCAGAACACAACCTGTGCGTCAGAAGCCTCATGTTTTTGTTTGAGAATGAACAGAGGCTCGCATGCAACAGGGACACAGACATACCGTAGAAAAAATGTGGGAAATATTTAATCAGCAAAGTTATACAAATATGACTCACTTACCAAAACAACATCCTGTCATCCAAATCACAAATTAAATCATTGTCCTTTTTAACAAAGCACGTCTTGGTAGGACAAGCCGTCTAACTGGGAACAGAACATGTTCTTCTCTTTCTCAGTTTTCTTGTTGGATGATGCATCGAAGAGGCTTTTGATTTCACATGTCACATGTCAATGACTTTATCCATGATTCATTCAAAGCAAGCTTGCTCCTCATGGTTTTGCCAAGTTCAGGGACAATTAATAGGCTGGTCACTGGTCAGCCTGGTGCCAATGATAGCCAAAGAGTCATGGTGCTAAATGAGACAACACTATACAACAACAGATATCAAATTAAAGAGCTGTGGCTTAGGAGGTAGAGCAGGTTGTTTCCTACCTAGTAAGTTGGAGGTTTGATTCCTGGCTTCTCCAGTCTACGCATCAAAGTGTCCTTGAGCAAGTCAGTGAACCCTGGTTGCTCCTGGTTATGTCACTGGTGTGCGAATGGGTGAACGGCCAAATAGTGTGAAAGCGTTTTGAGTGAATAAGAAAGTGATATACAGGTATAAGGCCAGTTTACCATTTACCATAGCTTTAGTAATTTCCACTTAACAAACAACAATGAACATTTTCATCATTTAGAAGTAGAACAATTTTCTTAGTGCTGCACTAATCAATATTTTTAAATTAGCAAATGGTCTAGTAATGTGCCAGGGGTTGTTTGTAGCAGCCTATGGAGAATTATTACCCTAATTAGCAGTTCTACAGTGTGTTAGCACATATTCTGCTTTGGTTTTACAACCCTCAACTTTACTGTTGTGTTCATTGCTCAGCAGGCAGCTGTTGCCAGTGAAAAAGCACAAACCTACTGTAGGCTAGAAACAAATGGCTAACAAACAAAGTTAGCAACTAGCAGGAAAATGGAGAGGAGCACTAGCAGCTAAGGGAACCAAATGATTCTCTTAGTGGTGGAGACCATAAGAAAGCTCATAGGAGTTTTAATACCAGACTTATATTCATCAGGTGGATAGAAAGTGAAATGAGTGTTGCTGAAAGGGTAACTGGTTGCTAACATGTTCATAATATTAACTTTATATGGTAATAATACTATATATCAACCTTGTGTTTACAGTTTGTTTTAGTAATCACAAAATAAAATTGTTGTAGATATGCTGCTGACATCTCTAGATAACTTGATACATGAATTCAACTAGTAGAAGTAATAACACAACTTTGACTTAAACCAAAGAATGTGTTCATTAAAGTTGAGACTGCGAATGTACAAATTAGTTTGCTGTGGAGTTTTTCTACTTACATTACCACCATCTCCATAAAAATGTGTAGTACATGAAAGCTGTAAATTCACCTCAAATTCACCTAATTACACACATCTACAGCTGTTGGTGGTAAGGTACCAAAACAATGTAACAATGCATCAGCAAAAAGAGAACAATGAAGGAGACCGCTAGCTGATGTAATCAGGGATGTACTGTACAGTAAATGCTGAAGATTTCAAATTCTAAAAAAAATCTCAGTTTTGTATATATTTAATGGTTTTTTCAACAAACAGTACTTGTTAGATAATTGTGGACCAGTTATTTTGTTTTTATGTTCAAGAAAAGTAAATATGATCTAAAGTACAAGATGCATGTGAATCTCTTTATAGAATAGCAGGTATTTGTGGGTGAATGCAGTAAACCTTTCTTTTATCATTTCTTTAAACTTTAAGTGCTCTAGCTTCTATTATTTGATGCTTAAAAGACAATCAATAATGCATTACATCCTTGAATTAACAAGCATGTGTGAAACTGCATATATACTGTACTGTGCTGATACGGTACTCTAAACTGTATGTAGTGCGTATTGCTCAATACTCTATGACATTTCTGTGTAGGAAAAGTAGCCAACAGACAGAAAATGTACTAGAAACAAGTTGCTAAATTTAATTCCGCTGAGGCAGCGCATAACAGTAAATGGAGTAGTTTTGATTTCTGCCAAAGGTTTTCTTTGGAAACATTAAATATACAGTAGATGGTAGCAGCACAGAGAAGATGGACGCAGAGTATATATGAAGACAAACAAGAGGGATGGACTAAAACAAGAATAACAAAGCAAAACAAGGGGGCCACCAGAGTTGGGAGATGGATGGTAGAAGAGAGAGGCAGAGACAGAAAAAAGGAAGAGGGAGGTAGTGAGAAGAGGCAGGGGGTTTGAGAGAAGGGCAACAGAAAAAAAAGAACAGAAGAAAAGATTGAAAGAAAAAGTCAGAATGAAAATGTGGGATGAAGAGCCTTGGAAAAGTGCAGGGAAAAAACTGTGTATGTCTGCCAAGGGACCAAAAAAAAGAAGAAATAAAGAGAAAACCAGAGAGAGGGGAAGATGGAGTGCCTACCACCGCTGTCTCTGACACTGAAGTTGAGCGCAGCGCCGGACTCTGGAGGGATGCTGAAATACACAGTGCTGTCATTCCCTCCCTCATCTCTATCAATCGCCCGCAACACCTGCACCACCTGAAAAAGAGAGATAGAGCAAGCAGAAGAGACTGGGTGAGGGGAGGGTGTGAATACGTGTGTGTGTTGGTGGGGAGGAAGCACAGAGAGGAGAAAAAGAAGGCAATGGGAGAAACACTTAGAAGTGCTTTTAGCTACAAAGCATTAGCCGACATCAGCAGGAGTCAAAACAAGCCACAATTAGTACAGAGGCGCAAGTGAACTGTCTGATACCCAGAATACTGTCTGACGTGATTTGCCTTTTGCAAATAGAGTGCACTGTGGCTTTTAATTTGGTAATAGCATTTGCACAAGTCTACAGTGATATTCGTAACTAATTCAATCTTAGAGAAATGTCCTGCAGTCTAAGCTGATGGGTAATTTACTTTTAATGAAAAACCCCGGTTGTCACTGTGCAAGATGTCCTTTCAGAGATGCTTTCGAGTGCTAGTTATGAGACTGAATGCAGAGATAAAGAGTGCAGCGTGCTCCCTGTGTTAGTCAGCGTCTCCAAGAGCAGAAGAAGATTTGTTATGTACAGTCACATTATACTATCACTTGCTGTGTGTGAATATTCAAATGCAGTTTCCTTAATGACTTGTCATACAAAACACACACACACGCAATGCCAGCACACTGGAAGATATCATAATCTTTCTTTCTTGAACTGTCTTCTGCTCACTGACATAACAGTATACACAAACACAAATATGAACATCACAGGCAAAAACAAATGAACACAGTTGCCATAGAATCACAGATTTAGTGGTGAAACAACAAAGACACAAGCAGCGCAACAAAAACACCAGCAAAAAACAACAGATGGGCCAAGACGCCAAATTACGCTGGTGGAGCCAGACTGGAATACTGAGTGAAAAAGGGAGAGCAAAGGATGGTTTCTAGGGAGAGATTGTTGAGCACAGAGATGATTTCTAGAATTTAGACAGGATCAAGTAAGAACACTGTGAAGCAAGAAGGCAAATAAAGAATGGAGGATGGGAGGGATGAGAGAGACAGTCTGTGAGGAGGCTCGAGTTTTTAATTACAATGTGAATAGCTGCTGTGCTGTGATAACAGGTCATGGAGGATTCACCTGCCTCCATGGTGAAGGGGTGTGTTGTATCTGCATGCTGCCATAACTGAACAGGTGCAGCTTTGCACTGCTGCACTCTGAATGTCCTGTACTTGAATGGCATTGCTTTGTATAATGTGCTTCCTCATTTGAATGGAAGTGCTGTGTGTTTCTTTATATCAAACATTATTGTTTGAGGTAAATGAAAAAAACTCTTGGCAACTAAACTGCATGAACCTCTTTTCTAATTCTCTGTCTGACAAAATGGTGTGTTTACAGATTGTCCACGTTGTATGATTTGTACATGAACATAAAGTGCAATGTTTCTGTATTTTGTCTGACAACCCTTATGCATATTAATCATAAATATGTCTGTATGTTTACAATATCACAAACATACTATATAGTTTTTTTTATATGCTATAAAATATACACATTATATATGAAGCACAGAGTACTAATCATCTGTAGGCAAAAGTAAAGAGTATACAAAAGTACAAATGCATGAAATCTGTAGATTTTATGTTGATATTTAAGGCTGAGGGTGATGAAAGTCATTAGGTTTGCAGATACTTTGTCAAAGTATTTGACAAATTGAAATTTTGACTTTTTTGATATTGCTAGATGAAAAATAAAGTATCACCAAAGTTATTACAGTTCATTCTGAGTAGACCATGATCATCTGTACCAAATTTCAAGTTGGTGATGGTGGAAACATATCATTGAAACCACAAATATAAATGGTGGCACTAGATTATTAGGAGTAGGAATATTAGGATTCACTGATGTGGAGTAAAAGTTTTCATGTTCAGTCCATCTAGTAGTTGTTGTGGTCTGGACCACTGAATGTATAAATGATGGACAGGGGTGACAGCTTCGAGAAGTGAAGCTGTCAAAACCTGATTGACTTCTGGTGACTGGTTGTAGCATAGGTCATAAATCTTGCCTCCATGTTAGTGAATAGGACATGAACCACACTAAAAAGTCAAAGTACAAATCAAATACATTTTCCCCAGAGGCCACTTCTGTCATTTTGGTAGATACTATCACAATGGTTTGTGTACAAACGACCATTTTCTGGTAAGTTTTTAAAAAGTTGTTCTATTATATATAATCGGGTTGCAAAAAGGCAAGATGGCAGCCGCCATCAAATATTCTCAATTATATTTACTTTACTTTACTTTACTTTACTTTTGCATAGTGAAGGGAAGTGGTGACACCAAGTCCATCGTATATACAGTCAGTAGTCTGGACCAAATGACATTGGTATCCAAACAGCCATCCCTCTAGTGAGGCAAACAATGTATTCCACTGTGGTACACAGCAGTGGACCCTGGCTCTGACTGTGAGACACTGAGAATAGTGGTCTGAAAGAAACACATACTCTGTAGCCCTTTTTCAATTGAACACCTTAGCAACCCACAACTTGAGGCTTCCTGTAATCTAAACATTTAAGAACGTTGCGAAGCTCTAAGACTGTCCTTGCATTTTCACTGTGTTACACAAACAAGGATGTTTTAACCATGCGTCATTAAAGGTAGGGTTGGTGATCCTGGAAAAACCAGCAAGAGGAAGCCACTCTAAAACACAATGCACAGTGTCTGACTACTTAGAGATCTCAGGAAAATAAAAAAAGTCTCCAAACAAACAAAGAAACAAACAAATGATAATTACCTGTCCATCACAAATAAGGCCACCATGGCATCACTTTTCAGCCCTGTTTGTTCTCTCACTTGTCACCATCATTCAAAAGCCACATCAATGTTAATTCTGATTTTACTTCATGCAGGATCCATCTTCTTTTTATTTCTAACTTTCTCAAATACAATCTCAGTTTGCGACCAAAAGCTGCTGTGGGTACCTTTTCGGCCATAGCTTGCTAACTTTAGCTATAAAAACAGAGCGGTAACACATCCGCCTGCAACTCCAACACTTTGTGGGAGACGCTTGGCTCAAGCAGTGAGTCAAAGGCAACGTGCAGGTAGGAAGTTAGGTTGGCAGGCAGGTAGGCCATCCAATGGTTTTGCTTGGGCTGAGGAAAATTATTGGTCAGGATTCTTCAGCACAGCTGCTGCCACAGATGACAGACTTTTTTTCTTTATGTTGTCAGAGCATTTAATATATTAATTGCCATTGGAATGAAAAGAGAAATTCAAGAAATGTAACAGAAAATGCTTCTGAAAGGAATCGCCAGCCCTACCTTTAAAAGGGCAAAAACAGGACTGACTATTCAGCATCATATAACTACTGTACATCTGTAGGTGAGTGAAACAAGTGTTGGAAGAACAACAATAGAGCTCATGATGCAGATATTACTGATTTTCATTCACAATATTGAATGTAGATACTGCTGGGGTAGTACAAGTTATCAGTGCTGTATTCAAGTCCGAGTGCATCAGTGCAAAATGATTTTTGCTTCTAATTGTTGACCTCAGCTGCTCTGCATGGCCTCCTAATGAGAACCTAGACAGCTCTGTTTCCTCAACATTCTCCATTATTCTTTATAAAAGTGTGTGTATTCCTAGTCGATAAGGATGCGGCAGCAATTTGGTGGTCACTGTTTGTTGTAGTTGCCCCTGGTTGTGATTTGGCAGCACATTTGCTTGACCAGTCCTAATAGGAAATACTCTCAGCAAGCTCAGAAGGTACACAGAACTTTCATTTATTATCAGCCCTGAGCAGTGCCAACATTTAGTTCCCCAAGCTCGTCCCAAAGGCGGGTGGAGAACAATGGAAACAAAAGCTGAACCTGCGACAATGGCTCCGCTTACATGACGCTTTGTTATGTTCCAGTAGCAGAAAAGGACTAATAAAATGAACCAATTTACACTGTCTTGCAAACAAAAGGTGGTTCCAGAAGAATAAAATTGACATTATGCAGAATTTTCTTAGACATAGGAGCTTTACAGTAAGCTCTGTTTTTGGAACAGACTGATATCAAGGGTTATTTAAACACACACTGACCTGCCCAATGGAGGACGAGTCGCACATGGCTGTTGTGTATTGCCTGTCCAACTCGGGTGCATTGTCATTCAGGTCTAATGTCTCTATTGCAACCACAGCTCTGGACACCTGGCTGGGATTGTCTGAAAAGGCCAACAGGAGAAAAACACATTATAATATAGCACTCAAAAATGCACATACACACACACACACACACACACAACTGCATATGAAAATTGATATGAATACAATTCCCCGCTGCAAACGAAGCCAGTGTGTACACACACACAGAGCTGCACATTTGCACTCCATTAATTCCATTCAATTGTCCTCGGAGACCAGATCAAGCATTTCAGCCTTTGTCCAAAAACTTCAACAGCCCTCAGATCACATTAGCAAACGCACAATTGACTAAATATACAGTAGTGCATTTGGTTTCATTTGGCTTGCGTTACAGCTCACAGGCTCCCAGCTGGAGTACGACTGATGCTTCCATTACAGTCACATTCTTCCACATCAAATTGTTCCATTCTTAGCCAAAACATGTCACAGAGTCAAGTGTGTGTGTGTGTTTCTAAGAAAGGGAGAGAGGAGGAAGAGGAAAGCAGTCAATCTGCATGCAGTTACACAAGAGTGCAGTTTAAATGGATTGGCAGAGGATCTCCCACACCCCATGCACTTGGATATACACGCACTCAAACATGAAGTTCTCACAGCTTTGCTTGAAATGCACAGAGACACACTGAGAGCTCGAACATTCACTGGTACATTTTAGGCTGCTCTCATGTATGACTCAGCCACACCAGCTCACCTGCACACATCTTCATACATTTTTCTAAACAGGCAACCCTGCAACACAGTTGAGGTCACATTTTGTGCAAACCAACAACACACCCACCCACACACACACATGGTCTCACACCATGTTCTCAAACCTACAGCAGTAATACTGTGTCATGGATGACAGCGACTGTTTCCCATGGCTGAGAAGCCGAAAATAAGCTCTTGCTGTAATGCCACTGGGTGAGCTGGCCTGCCCGTGGCCATGGCAGGGATCCCACTGTGCTTTATGTCAACACAGCCTCCAAAAGCCTGTTTATTAGACAGAGCTCATTATTCAAGACAGGCACTCGCCGTGCTGCCCCCACGGTTCTACCAACACTGCTGCCACAAGGAGCCCAGAGTCAGTTGTATGCAAAGATTAGCATTGTCCAGAGCAAGACTGGCAGGAAAACAACATCGCTCCTCTGAATACAGTGGCCACTGGGCAGCAGCCTCTAACAATACTTTCACTTTTAATGCACATCAACCATTTTGATAAGGCTAAAAATGACATCCAAAAAATAGCCTGTCACCTGCCAAACTAGCTACTCAAACTCAGCCAGGATTCATCAGGAAGCTGCTGATTTATGACGTCATTTGTCAGTGCTTTGAAAAACATAACCATAAAGAGTTTTCTCATCTGGTTAGGGTTTGGCTTGATTTAGCTAAAGAAACCATTTGATTAAGGAATGATCACTGTGGTGGTAGAAAGAAAATACCATGCAGACAATGATGTGATGTCAAAATCAGATGCTAAAATGCTGTCACACTATTTCTATAGCCTCTCGCAGTCATAATTGGTGGAGCCATGAGAAATGTTGTCAGGTAAGGTTAAACACAGCCTGTTTTAGGTATCTGAATAAACAACCAAGACCTTCCTTGTCACTCAATAATTATCCTAAGTTAGCTGAAGGATATTTCTAGAATAGATGATATGGTGATTATCAATATTTTTACTTTATGGTCAACAAATTCCATAAAATGACAATGGCTGTACAATGTGCTTTAGGCATTGACTTTGACTTTTTAAAAGATTAAAGTATATACTTTATTACCATTTTTTAAAGTAAGAACCAGGCGCTTGGGAATTATTTACAATTAACATGTTAGTCAGCTTGTTGGCTTTGTTTTTTCACTGGATTAGTAGATAACCAAAATATAAATTAGGATCACCACCATTCCAACCCAGTCTCTCAGCAAAATGTAAAGTAGCTATGTTGGTCTGCAGTACAAGATGTACGAGCCTCACAATAACTTCCAAAACTGTGACACTGCAACAATTTTCTAGACTAAAAATTTTGATATGGAAACATTATTCTGGCAGAGAAAATGAAAGACAGTGGCTGAAATTCCTTACACATGATTACATGTACGTATGGAAACTACACGATTAAGCTAGACCAAGAGTCCAGTTAAAACACTTTTAAATTAAAAAGTACAACGTCACACAACACTGGACACAGGATCCAGTCATCCGCCCCACCCACCACCTTGTTAGTGTCATTGTTAGCTTCCTGATCCGCTCCAGTCTAGTTGGTGGTGACATTGCACCATGTTGTTGTTTGCCAACCACCATAAAACAGCAAGAAGAAAACACAGATGGACACTTGTCTGCACAAAAAACATTCCCATGTCAGAATTTTACAGCCATCACTGTAACACCACTACGTTTTATGCTGTGAGACTGGACTCACTATTCGTTAAACAGAACTACTTGTGTTTAGTTTCTCATGCTGCCGTATGCTTGCCACTATCTCATCACTACCAGCGTCAAGTCCACAGCTATGGTTTCCCCAAGAGATCTCCAAATGGCTTACAGAGTGTTACCTCCACATATGGCTGTCTTTGACAGTGTCAACACAGACATCTCTCGATCTGTTAATATACAGAATCTCCATTTTTGAGTACTCAAGTTAATTTTTGACCTTAGTAACAGCAGTTAACAACAGACTAACAAACAAAAAATGTAACTTATTCATAACTGAAAGCTCCAAGACAGCTACTAAATGGACCTTGTGAGGGTACTGTTACAATGTCTGCTTGATGCATAACCAGTGAAGTGCCTCAGTGTCTGTTCAAATAGGGTATCCTTACTTAAAAACTAGGAAGTGCCTACCATTCTCCTTTGCACTCATGGTGTGCCTGTAAAGCGATGCTTTGATTTGTTGCTTTAATTCCTTTTTCTTCCAGCCGAATCCTTAGGAGAACAGATCTATCGCTGCATCAGATAACTCACACAGAACAGATCAATTGATTCTGAAAAAGCGCTGTAACAAACTATTTGTGGTGCCAAACAGCATTCCCCCCATGGCTTGATGACTCGAGAGCTACAGTAAGCCGCTTAGTGAAGTGCATCACACACTGGATACTGTGCTTTTCAGACACTGTATCTGTACAGTTTACACTCCCTTAAACGTCTTATGCTCATCAGAGGGAGCAGGTGTCAGAGCTGGTAAGATGTTGGCTTCATTGAGTTTTAGCTCTAAATAAAAGAAAAAAATCCAGTGAACACACTAATGATGGCTTAGAGTTAAGTAGTGTACAAAGAAGGATACCCAACCTCTCTGGGTTGCAATGACAGTAATGTTGTGCCAGTGCTCGCGTTCCCGGTCCAGTTCCATGGCGGTGGTGATGAGACCCGTGTCTGGGGTGATACGAAACAGAGCCTCTGGGTCTGACTGAGGATCAATGGAGAACCTACAGAAGGGAAAATAGGTTAGAAGGAGACAGACAAATGAAGGAAGGGGAACATAAATGAATTGAGGAAGGGGCAGTGACCAGTATAGAAAGAAAGAGTGAAGGGAAGAAGCGTGCAGAGATGTCAGCTGGGTGTAGAACAGCAGAAGCAGATAGTGCAAGTGTGTGAAGGAGTGATAAGAAAGTCAACAGTCAAATGGCCAAAGTATTAATATAGGGAAATTATCGCAGCTGATAGGAGCTCTTTTGAAGTGTCACTGATTATCAGAATATCTCTATGAATATACCAACTATCATTCCTCCCCACACACTCACTTTTAGCACTTTTGCCGGTGCTAATTGGAACACGGTTTTCTGTGGTTATTACAGACAAATTTCTCGCCTCCCTCCTTGCACTGTTTGAGATGAAACCTACAGAAACAAACACAAGTGAAACCATGGAAGCTACACGCTTCTGTGGTTACTGTCTGGCTCAGGGGAACACTGAGTGGGCATTTGGTTGTCTTAGATTTATTTGGTTAGCTCTTATCTGTTGTGTCTTGTTTCTTTTAGCTGAACAGTTGTGTTTGAATTTCAAACCAAACAACTATATATCCCTAGCTTAAAAGATGTTTGTGCCTGAGATTCCACCGTCAATATAACAAAAACACATTTTATCCTCAAAAACATTAAGCGAACCATAAAATATAACTTGGAATCATTAAGTTCTTTATTTTGTATTTAGCAGTGAAATCCTTGTTGTATGGTTAATTAAAAACAGGATTATTATTGTTATAATTTTATAAACTGTGAATACTGAAAGAAAATGGTTATTACCTTTCTATCTAAGAATGAGATAAAAAGATGGATACCTCTATTTCTATGTTAAATTTTAAGGTACAGCCAGAAGCTGGCTAGCTTAGCTCAGCACAAACGCTAAAAACTGGGGTTTGAGTCTAAATGTGATGCTTGTCAGTATTAATGAATGAAAAATGAAAAACAATGAAAAATTGTTGCCTTAAATACAATTAACATTTTACTGGTCCATTATAGTTGCTCAAATTATTTGTATTTTATATCATGCACACAGCCAATTGTGTTGTTGTGGAGTACTCAGTGGGGAGAGACCACTGTGCAGCAGCGATGTCCTCGGCCAGCAGTAAATAATGAGCATAGCCAAAAAAAATTTAAAAAGCTGTCTCACTTTGCACAAAATAATGTGATTAATAATTATTTATGATTTATTATTTCATAAAACTAGGGGTTTAATTTACTTTTGACATGTATTTCAGATGTCCCATCCCTCTCTGGGTCTGTATCCCAGCCTGGCCACCCCATTAAAACTTTCTAGATCCACCCCTGGCTGTAGCTAGTCTGTTTTGTCAAAGAAATAACAATATCTACCTACCTAGCCTGTGACTCCATTGAATTCACCTTTATATTCAAAGTGTATTTGATCAAAGATGAATTTATTGAACTATTATTTCAAATGTACAGGATATCTGGAGAAAAGTCAAGGATACATTTTATTTATACTTTTGATTGTCTAAACACTGATCACAAATTAGTACCACAAATGGTTCTGTAAGGTGTTACAGAAATTAGTAATAAGTATAAATTACATCAAATTGAAGTTTTACAAGAGCCTTCAAACTTCAACCCCTTTGTTCTCTCCTTCCGTGTTTTGGTATTTACTGCGCTCTGGCCTTTGTCAGTGAGTATCATATGAAGAAAGAGGCCTAGTATTTCACCTGATATTATTGGTTAGACCAGTATCAGGGTCCACAGCACTGACTCGGCCCACGGTGCAGGCTGGTGGGCAGTTCTCAGACACATCCATGTGATATCGCGCTCGAGAGAACCTCGGCGGCTCGTCTGCATCCAGCACCGCTACTCTGATGGAGGCCCGGTCCTTAAAGGGGCCCCGACGCAGGAAGCGAGGGTCCACTATGGGGTTGAGGACCTCCACAGAGAAAGAGTAGGAGCTCCGGCTCTCATAGTCTACAGCCTAAGGAGAAGAACAAAGAAGAGTGATTTAGTAGAATAATATTTGAAGTAGAATTGTTAAAGGTTGACGTTCTATATACATTATCTGTGAAATTAGTATTGCTGACACATTTTATTAGCAAGAAATTATGCAAATGTAACTGTTACAAACATCAGATCCGATCATTTTGGTGTGTGCACGTTCATTTGGTCCAATTCTCACACTAAATGTTCCACAGATCAAAAGCAGATAGATGGCAAATAATCAATTATTCCAACAGATAAGCACTAAGCAGAGGCTACAGTCGCATCCACAATCAGCTGAGGAAGATTTGGAGGAAATAATACCTTACAAGTTGTTTGGATTTTTGAAGCGATACCTTGAAGGTTGTTGTGGGTGGATGCTTGGATCGTGGGTTTTGTGTGAAGCAGGAAAAAGCATCCGTGAGGTATTGATGTTACAGCATTGCCAGTGAGATTCCTGATGCTCAAAGAGTTGCGACAATAAAGTAACTTTACGCTTGAGTATTATTTTGACATTGCTTAGAGATGATGTTGGGATACTGTTGACATCTTAAGACTGAAGGATAATGCAGGGTTTAATGCTGGGATGAATGCTGGTGTTGCATTCATGGCAGCTATAAGATTAGTGGCACAAGTGATATTTTTATCTATCTACAGCATTGTTTGCTGCTGCAGTGTTGGCAACTCAAGGACCTGTGTTGGTGGGCGCCACACAGGTAGTGTGGTTTGTTATATTGTTACAAACGTGTCGGTAGGAATAGTTTATAAAACACTGTCGGAGTCAAAATTGGACAGTATGGATTATGAGTTCACTTTCAGAGGCAGTGATTGTGGTACTGCAATATTACCATAAACAATAGATTTATCTTTGATGAAACTGAAAAGAGAATGACACTCATAAAAATATTTGCCTTGCCCCTGTTCAGAATGGCTACACTACTGTCGCCACAGAGACTCATACCTGGCTATGAGCAGTGTTAAAAATTCCTTTGTATCCTTGCATCTACACAGGTAGAAGAGATTTCATTTGGGATAGGGACTCAGGCCCCAGAGATTGTTTGTTTCAGAGAAGTTATGAAGCCTATTTGTCTGAGGTGTCTGTGTGATTGCGTGCCGCACTCCCACCAGCGGGCTGACTCCGAAGCAATGAGATAGCTTCTGATCGGGTTTGCCGAGTTGATTGTAAGCGAGGGCAGCGGGACACACAGGTAATCACATACATCCACTGTCTCACACACACACACATCCTGACATACACCTGCAGTTGATTAAATTTGAAAAAAGCAACATGTTCAGGTCTGTTTCAAAATACTTCTTTGAGGTATTGCTCTGTGTGTGTCTGTGTGTGTGGGTGGGGGAGGGGGGCTTGTGTGCAAGTACAGTACAAGTGGTTCTTTTGAGTCTCTGTCCTCAAATCCTCTGTCAGAATGCGTGGATTCTTAGAGTAAGTGTGCATATGAATCGTCTCAGTGTGCCTGGCACAGAGAGCCATGTTGGACAGAGGATGAATAGGTTCCCTGGCTATGCAGAATATTCGTTTTCAGATTCAAACAGAAAAAAGACCTCATTCTGAGGATCCCAGTGGTAGTTGGAATATTGATATCCGCTCACTCACGCTCTCTCCTTCGTCTCTGATTTCTTTTTTCTTGCTGTATTTTCTTCATTCTCTCTGGTCTGTAAACAAGACTAAACTGCTTCACAGAAAATCAGCAGTTTTAGAAAGAGGCGATTGATTAAAAATTATGCAGAGGAAAGGGCGAATTGAAAGACATCAAAATGCAAGCAATTTGTGGAGTATCTGCCAAAAAATAAATAAAGAAGGAGAGTTGTGTGTGGAAGGAGACAAGGAGATTGTGAGAGTAATTCTCTGTGCGTACAGGGGGTTTAGGTGGGTAGACAGAGAGAAAAGGTTCCCTGACAGGGTCCCCATTACAGGGAGAGAGAGACAATCTGTCTGAGGAGGAGAGGTGTCACTTACACAGCGAGCACCCACTAGTCACCCCCCAGCCTCCCTCCATCACTCGTCTCCTCTACCCCACACCCATCTATTTTTTTTCCCAGTGTGTGTGCGACAGGGTGCCACCTCTGACAAACCACAGCACACACACTCATCCGCCCCTCTCAGTCACCCTCACCGAAAGCATTCATCACACAGCAACCCAACAGGTGATTCTATGGTATTTTCCATCTAGCGTGTTAAAATTCATCACTCATGATTTCACAGACACATCATGTTCCCATGGCTCTTGTGGAATACACACAGGGATGTGCACCTTAAAGAGCACTTGTTTCAAAAAATCTGTTTGAACCCTGGCATATACCACCAACCACTCCCATGTTAGCTGTGTTTATTTATTTATTCAATTAAATCTCACTGAGGTTAGCAGCTTCTTTTTCAAGGATGACCTGGCCAGAACGGCAGGTCAACAAGTTTCAGACACAACAATACAACATCAAGCTCACAAATAAAACAATACTAAAAACCAGGTGACGATGCATGAAGGCTAATACAGTTACAAAACATAAGTACTAAACAACAATCCATCCATTATCACCTGCCTATCTAGGGTCGGGTTGCAGTGACACCAGGTTTAAGGAAACATTAAGTACATGACAATATTTATATAGTAGTATTTACTTCCAGTTAGAGCAAGGTCACATTTTCTCATGACGTGTGTCAGAATTTGACGTTCTTCCCTTAATAGATGTTTTGGTGTTGTTCAGTCTTTTACAAATATAATTTCACTACTGAATACTGAAATAAAAAAAACAATCAGGCACAATAGCATTAATGAGAAAGTAACATCCATACCACAGTGTCTCCTGAGGTCACACTTTATAATGGTCCCAGAACATGGGGTAACACCAGCCAAAATATAAAGCAGTGAATCACCCCCCAAACAACTTTCCAGCTTCACACACTGCTTAAGCACTGGTTTGAACCACTATGTCAACATTAGATTAAGGCAGAGCAGAGGGTTGGAGGTTGGACACAAACATGACACTGCCTCAAAGTTTGAAGACAGAGTGTGTCAAGGTACATAATAGATTTTTCAAAAATCTTTGTAGGGCCTAGAGGACAGAGAAAGGAAGGCCATTTCTGCAGCAATAAACACTAAAATGGAAGCAGGATCAGTAAATAAAGTGAGTCTACGTGTACTGCATTAACTCAAAACTTCAGATTAGCGTTTTTTTACTATTTTCTACCATTTTGCATAATCAAGTTATTCAATTAAAAGACACTGAAAGTAAGTGTTAGGTGCAGCCCTTGAACATATCTACACTTTCCCTTATCTCTAGTTAATGTTTCACTCCTCTTCTACACACACACACACACACACGTGTAACCCTCTCCTGTCCTGTGATGCGCTGCTCCCTCTGTCCTTTTTGAAATTCAAATTTCTTTATACAATCTCCCTTTTAAATTCATTTCACAGTTAGCAGAAATTAATCAGCTAACCTGCATGCTAGACTGGCAATACATAATAAATTTTTCCTCAAAGAGGCCACCTGTAAGTGTACATGCTTGACTAAGAAGGACAGTGTGTGACTGTGTGTGTGAATGCATGACAGTAAACGTGCATGACTGCAGAGTGAGGCTCCAAATCACAGAGGTGGGGCTTCGTAACTGATCACAATAGTCTGTAAATGTGTGCGAAACAAAGTGAACCTATGTGTACTTGTGCTCACCTGCGAGTGTGTATATGATCATGCTTGTGCATGTCCCGTGGCCTGCTGTCCTTGGCAGCTCGAGTTCTTTCTTGATTTCATGTATTCTAAATCAAGCTCATACATCACATTTGTCTGATGGCAAATGCAGCTATGGACATTTCTGCCAACAAGCACAACCGCAAAGTTGCGAGAACAAAGACTCTTCTAAAATCTTGGTTTTGACTTTGTTCTTTCTTTGCCACCTTCCCTTCCCTCACATGCCTTGTTTTCTGCCTTATTTCACTGAAAAATGTCCTGCGTCTTCCTTTATATTGAACCTATGAGCAAGGCATTGGTCTCTCTTTCCCCCCTCTTTCTTTTTCTCTCTCCATCTCTCTCTCTTTTTCCCTCTGAGGAGATGAACACAATCTCTCCTCCGCATGAAAAAACAAACACAGATAATCCTGGGCGCGCTGCTGGTGTGTGACCGAGGATTAGCCAGCCGTTTTAAGTGAGGGCATATGGAAATAATAATGACAAACTGACACATGCAGTCTGGAAAAAGGAATGAAAGGCGCACAAACATCAAGCTTACAGAATTGCCAGCAACCTGAAAACCTACCTTGAAAGGGAATCTCCTAAATCGGGATACCGCCAGATTCCTATTAATGCTTTGACAAGTGTTGTGTCTAGTGATTCCACTTTGTTATACTGTATACATACAGTACACATGTGTAATGAGATGCTGTTAAAATGGGGGCATTATCCTAGTTTGTTTTTAAAGTTTTTGCTGCATCAGTGGTTATAATTAAACCACACCGAGCCTTTATTAAATCATCACCTGTCTGATTTGCATGTAAAGTATCTGCCTCCATCAGCTGATGACAAGATTTTCTCTTTTCCTCTTCTTCTATTTGCTCCTCAATTAAAGATATATATAGACCTACATAGTGGTAGGTGTGTGTGTGTGTGTGTGTGTGTGTGTATTGATTAGATTTTGATTACTTGATTCATTTCCAGGGAAACTTTAAGCAGCAGCTTCCACTGGGTTGAATGTTACCATCTGGCCATTAGGGGGCTGCAGAGCAATGTCAAGGAGTCACTGTAGTGGAGAGAGTTATGCTAATTCTTCAATTACCAGCTACTTACACTGCGGCCTTGTTCATATGCTGCATCAAAAATCTATTAGCAGTAATATGTACATTCATTAACAGCAATATGTAATAAGTAAATAACTGGAGTGGAGCAGAGCTAAATAGTCAGGGAGCAAAGAAGAACAGAGGAAAAGACCATAAAACAAAATAAAAGAGAAACTAAATGAGGGATTTAATTTCAAATGAATGGATG